ACACCCACACACACACACACACACAGTGTTTTCAGACAGTAGTAGGGTTCCTGGGCGCAAACCCCCATTATACCCCGCCCCTCCTACGTAGCCCTGGCTGTCCTGGAAAGAGATCCTCCTGCCTTTGCCTCCTGGGTGCTGGGATTAAAGGCATATGCCACCCAGTTTCCCCTTTAGAGTTTTACATTAATTTAATATATACCACAAGACCAAGGAACCAATGCTGATAACGTTAGTAACTAGAAAGTTTCCTGCTAGGCAGTGGTGGTGCACATGTTTAATCTGAGTTCAAGGCCAGCCTGGTCTACATAGTGAGTTCGACAGCCAGAGCTACACAAAGAAACCCTGTCTCCAAAAACAAAACCAAACAAAAAGTTCCTTGGTGTTTCTTAGCTCCTATAATATCCTTTGTCAGCTCTGGGATCCTGTCTTGGACACCTCGTGTGTTGTCATCTCCGACATCTGTGTTGGGTGACCCCAGTGGTTCTGAGGAGCCAGCAGGTGGGCACAGTGTGACTTGCTGTTGGGGTTTGTCTGGTGTTTTCCTCGTGACACTGGGTATTGAGAGGAAGACAGTGGGGGAAACATGCTGTGTGTCCCACGTGTCCAGCAGACGCTCTCGGCATCATCTGTTACTGCTGCGCTGGCCTTGGTAGCCTTGCTGAGGAGTCTGAGCTTTCCCTCTTCTCCACTGCACACTCAACGGTGGAGCAGGGAATCCTGTCCCGGAGAGTTTGTTCTCCTCACTCCCTCCTTCCTGTCCTTTTGTTTTTCTCTGAAGACAGGGCCTCTGTAGCACAGACTGGTCTGAAACAGCCACATAGTTGAAGATGACCTTGAACTCATAATCCTCCCACTTGCCAAAAGCTGGGGTTGCTGTGGTCTGTAACTATTACCAGGGATCCACTGTCCTAACCTCCACAGGTACACATGCAGTCCATTTATTTAGATTTTTTTCTGTTAATCCCAGCACTCTATACAGTGTCTGCATGTGTCCCTGCAGGCCAGGGAAGGCACTAGATCTCATAACGGATGGTTGTGAGCCACCATGTGGTTGCTGGGAATTGAACTCAGGACCTCTGGAAGAACAGCCGGTGCTCTTACCTGCTGAGCCATCTCTCCAGCCCCCTAATCCCAGCACTCTAGAGGCGTACAGATCTCTGAGCTTTAGGCCAGCCTGGGCCCTACCCGTGAGGAGTTCAAAGATAGAACTGCATAGTGAGAACCCTGTCTCAAAACCAAAATAAAGCTCACGCCCCTATGTAACTCCCACACAAATATGCAGGTAGGGAAAACACCAATGCAAATGAAATCAAAGTAAATGAGTTTTTTTTTTTTAAGACGTCAAAAGCACTAAAAGTGAAAACAGTTTGTTGTCGTTTTGGGTTGTTTTTGTTTGTTTGTTTGTTTGTTTTTTCCCCTCTTTTCTTTTTTGGTTCTTTGTCTTTACTGGTTTTTTGGGGGAGGGGCGGTGCCTGCCACCCAGATCCCAAATAAACCACACATACAGAAGCTGTTCTTTCTTATAAATGCCCAGCCTTTGGGCATTTGGCTTATTTCTAGCCAGCTTTTCTGGAATTATCCCATTTACCTTTTGGATCCGGGCTTTTTCCTTTTCTTGCTTCTATATGTCTTACTTTCTTCACTCTTGCTCTGAAAAGATTTCTTCTATTTATTCTCTCTGCCTGCCATCCCCGCCTGTCCTTTGTCCTGCCTTGATGTTGGCCGTTCAGCTCTATTAGACCATCAGGTGATTTAGACGGGTAAAGAATCACAGCTTCACAGAGTTAAACAAGTGCAGCATAGACAAAACTCACACACCTTAAAGTAATATTCCACAAGAGTTGATCTGAGACTCCTCAAAAGACATGCCGTGACTCAAATGCTGGCTGTTGTGTGGAGCTAAATGTGTTTCTAAAATCATAAAGTTATGACTGGTAAAAATCAGACAAGGTGGCACACAGGTAGACAAGAGGTAGGTGCATGTAGATCTCTGGGTTCAAAGCCAACCCATGTACATAGTGAGTTCACTGCATAGTAAGGCCCGGTGCTGACAACAGCAAAACCTCCACAAAGGGGTATAGAGCAAGCAGCTCAATTGGCAGGAGTGTTTGCCCTCTTGACAGCAATAAAACACACTAACTTGACTGGCTAGCGTGGGGGGACATGTCACACCCAAGGGAATACCCAATCAGACAGTCTAGAGGGATGTGTTACATTGACAGCATTGTTGGGGATTAGATCATATAGCCAGAGTGGGGTTTTCTTTGTGGGGAAATGTGAAAGGTTCCACCCAGGTAACACTTGGTGTGGACATGTGTATGCCATGCTCTTTAGATGAAGGTCAGGGGCCGGTTTGTGGGAGTCAGGCTGCTTCTCCTTCCTCCATGTGAGTCTCAGGTGTTGAGGTTACAGTTAGGCTTTGTGACACATAGAAGAGCTCGTTTGGTAAACTGGCTAAGGCAAATGCACGTTCTTTTGTTCTAATCCTAATTACTAATACTGTTGTATAGCAAAATAAATGTATGGTTTACAGTTAAAGAAGACACAGCAGACTATAAAGGTCTTAGAAGTGGGTTGGCAGGTAGCAGTATTTTCTTGTCAGAACCACCAGCTCACAAATAATAACAGAGACTTTTTAATTATACTTGTCCCACTAGCTCTTCTAACTTAAATTAACCCATTTATACTGATGTACATTCTGCCATTACCTCATTTCTGTACTGCCTCTTGAGTCTGCCTGCAGACTCTGTTGCTGCTTCCCAGCGTTTTCTTGCCTCCTCCTGCCTAGCTACTGCTCCTCAGCTTGTTATTACACCAGTCACAGCAATACATCTTCACCACAGACAGAAATGTTAATAGAATCTATAATGATCCTGAGCCAGTGTGTGGAGAAGCAGCTGCTGCCTTCTCTGCAGTTTCCCCCCCTAGAATGAGACCTTGGGAGTGTGAAGTAGATGTGAGCCTGTGGGCTAGCTAGCTGCAGGTGCCTGGTAAGTATCTTTTTAGTGTTGATGTTCTTTAAGAAGGAAGCTTGCGCTGGGCGTTGGTGGCGCTCTATTTTAATCCCAGCACTCGGGAGGCAGAGGCAGGCGGATC